CTCATATGTACTTTCCTGGACTAGGTATTTCTGAGTCCTCTTGACAACTCCCCAAACTGGGTACTTGTTCTTACAGGAAATGCTGTTATTAGTTAATATCACCCATCTTGGGGGCGGGGGGGGGGATGAGTTCACCATGATTAATCAATAGGTGATATTCCTGTTAACGGGCTTCATAATAGCTTCCCAAATGGACACTGGAATATAAAATGGAGAAACAAGTTGATCAAAGAACATACTGTGTTCCCAAAATCACTAAATTTATGCCTTTTTCTCAAGGACACAGGATTTCTAAAGAATTTCTTAAAAATTGCAGGCCTAGAATATAGGACACAAATGGTATGAATGTGTATGCTTATGGAATGTTTGCTTCAGTCACAACTGGTGCAAACATATTTGGCTAGGTCTTGCTTCTTAATGCAGAACAATGGCTTGTTTCATAGTCAGAAGACAGGACAGCCATCCAAATATGTTTATTTTTATGATCTCACCTTTTGACCACAAAAGGTATTTAAAGGAGGTCCATGGTGAAGAAAAGGTTGAGAATCGCTGATCTAGAAGGTATGAAGACTGTAGTCAAGTTCAGAGTAAAGTGCTAGAAGGCAATATTCCATGGACAGAGTTGTGTGGGAAGAGTTTTTAAGGGAATGGTGGGTTGTTGAGATGAAGTAGTCTGGCTTTTAATTGTGGTTGGGAAATTGAGTTCTGTCATGCCCCCTTAATCTGCAGGGGAAGATGAGCTGGAACAAGAACTGACAGAGATGGAGATGCCTGCTCCGTTGGCCTTGGAAGAAACTGGGGAAGGGCAGAGTCAGTGCAGGCAAGGCTTTTCTGAATTAATAAGGCAGGGAGAGCTCAGGAGCAGAGCAAGGACTACCCCCTCCTGGTCCAAGAGCAAGGAAGGAAGAGAGACTGCCAGCTACTAGAAAGGAGAGTGCCCCGCCCCCTTTCACAAGGCACACCTGGGGACAGAGATGTAAGGAGGTGCTGGTGGGAGGGGCATTTGTCAGGAACAAGCATTAAATCTGTGGAGCCTTGTGTGCACTTGCCAAAGCCTGGAGATTGCTGTACTCTGTCTTGTGGGACTTGCCAGTTTGGCTACTTCGCTGAACTTCTTGCTCTGGTTACTGTTTAGCTAACCTGGCTTATTGGACTACTTGTAGCCAGAGGCTTCTGAAGGTGCATGTGAGAGCTTTGCTCCAGGACTTGCACTGAATGTGGGACCGTTTGGGGGCATGGTTGGAGCAATAAAGGGGAGTTAGACCTGTTCTCTGTTTGTGTTGCTTTCGTGCCACACCCCGGGTCATCACAAGTTCTTTTGAAGAACCAGTTGGTTTGGAGAATGTAATCAAGAANTGTGTGGCACCTGTTGTCTAAATGCTGTTGTGCCATAACATTTCTATTATATTCCTGCCTCCAGAACAGTACCAGTTCATGATGCAACTGGAGGTTCACAAAAACTTTACCTACAAAAAAAAAGTTGAGCCCAGAAGGTTTCTAGCCAAGCTTCCCTGGCATGCCATTTTCCAGATTTAGGGAGCACTGAATGTTAAAAAGCATTTGGAATTGTTATTGTTCCCATTATGCATCCCTGAATGAGCAAAATCCCAGGATAATTGTATTGTGTGCTTTTCTAAATGTTCAAGTTGGCCCATCAGGAATAGAGGGGAAACACAGAAGTAGGCTAGGCTCCTTCCCCCTTGGGTTAGCTCTTCTTCCTTTGTGCTCAACACTCTCCCTAATCTGTTGGACTTAATATACATGAACTCACGTGTGAATAGTACCTTACACTTTGAGCCCTAAAATGGAATGTGGGTTTGGAATGAGAGCTGTGACTGTACATTGTTAGCCTTCCCTAATATTAGCCTTCCTTCTGCCCACCACTGAAAGTTGGATATAAAACTTTGTGTGAGAGAAAAATAAACTTAATTGGTGGGTCTACCAGGATTGCACAGTGCTTTGGCTGCTCAGCTGCTCTCCTGCTTTCCCTGGGGATTTGATCCATAAGCCTTTCCTAGTAAGACATGGTGTATTCACATAGTTCATTGAGCTAACTGCCCTCACCTTGTAACTCCATGGTTATTAGACTCATATAATGCTTCAGGTTTGACTCCAAAAAGGTTCTTCAAAGCAC